CCCTGGACCATTTGGAATAGTAACCGTAGCCTCTTTGGCTATTGGATCACGATGGGCAACGCTTGGCACAACGGTTTTATGTGAGGCTCATTATGGATTCCTCGTTGTGTGAATGGATTGCGACGCGCAATCTCTGGCGTGCGGTCGGGACATTTTACCATCTCTGCACTTTCATCTACTATCTCCGATTTTTATCACAGTGCCGCTCGGATACACTTATTCGATCAGGCTCGAAGGCTTCCTTCCAAAGTTCCTATATCTCGAAGTTACGCTCCACGGATTACCTTCACCCTTTCATTTTCAATTTTCGCGTTTTTTCTAAAACCTGCACGTCAAATTCATTGGGCATGCTTCTTACATCAACAATTCCTGCCTTTTCTGGAAGCCCATTTTAAGGGCTGTTTACTAACGCTGAGAATACTCCTATATGTGGCTGTATAAGGCAACTACAGGCGAATACTTTCCATCTACGAGCGCTGTCTTCTGCCAAACACCGCTCACATAGGAAGCCGTCTACTAGTGTCTCCGAAACTACACCTGCTTGCGATCGATAGTTCTCGAGCTTCTACCTACCTAGCATCCTGATCGGTGGCTCTGACCTCCGCTTGCAGCGAAATGACGCACGAATCTGACCTCAAGGCTAACCCAGGATCGAGATCCGACCGATTAGGGCCTATGAACGGTTCGTGGCGCAGGTCTTGGCCTGTTTCTTTACCCCTCCTGTTCTGAATTGTCAGGGCAGCAAGCCTCTTGTTCAACAGTCCCAAACGGCTCGGCCTCATTCGATGTCTATCCCAGCCATCGGAATCATCCGCCTACCACGCATCACACAACATTTCTTTCATTTCACAATTCCCTTATTTCTCCAGATACCCTAACCGTATCATCCCAACAGCAAACGCTCTGGCCGATACCAATACAGCAACATCAACGGCTGCGCCGCCTCAACAGCCTTTCACGTCATCTGGATTACAGCAAGAAGACAATTTATCAGCCTTAACGACCGACGCCATACTCCTGCATTATTTCGACTTATGATCGCGCTCTTTTTCCACAAGCGTGGGCTTAGGTCAACACCTACTTTATCACCTCAGCAACGTACCGGGATTTTTGACTGATACTTTCGTTGTCAATTGAACAGAGTTCAAATGCTCAACATACAGCAACAGATACATAAGTAAGCGTGGTTTGTCCCAGCAGCGCCGTCAAGTCCATCCGGATGCTTACAAAGCAGTGGGTCTCGCGCAGCTATTCAACCATCAGTTCAACTGGTCTGCGCTAGAGGACAAGGCACTTTTTGCCTGCGCCACGGATATGTCGCCATCCGCCCCAAATCTTCCACTGCTACACAGACAACTCGGTATTCGATTTTTTTGCCGATCAAATGGCTGCATTAAGAAATGTTTGCAAGATCTCAGTTGGAACATCATGGGAGCAAGGCAATGCCTCTATAACTGCTCAGTTATTTCACTTACTCACGCCGCCTCACCATCTCTCCTCATTCAGTCGTTAAGTTCCCCTTACTACCCTCTGACTGAAGAGGTCCACCCACCACTCCATTTGGCCCTCACAGGCCTGATTTCACCTCTTTCGTGTCCCGGTTCCCATCTGATTGGCCATCAAGACGCTGAATGTCAGCACACACAACGTACCTCGCCTTGACATGGGCTGGCGACACCTCCCCGCTCTATCGCCCAGTCTATCGTTATCCTCCGCCTCACCATACGAAATCACTCCAGGGGTCGATTTGGATGAATCATGCGCCGACAACCGCACGAAGCTCGCTACAGACAGCTAGGACCTAGTTACAGAAACCACAGATGAGCAAGCTGCCTTTCAACGTCTTGTGGCGGAAGCCAGAGGAAAATTCGCCTAATGCAAATCACTAACTGAACACCGTACAGCTACCTTGCAAACAGTCATTGAAGACCTGCTAACGGGGCACTCCAGTACAGCATTTAGCACGCCATGGAAAGAGTGTGCTCAACCCTGTTCCCTCACACATGGTGGCCCAGTAAGCGCAGACAACGGGAATTTACAGTCCCAAACAGTCGTCAGCGACGGCGACTTCAATACGGCCACATACATACCTCTAGCATTTGCGAAGTAAAGACCCTGACGCTATAGTACTCCATGGTCGTTGGAAGACGGCATTCATGCCGGATGAAGAGGTGATCCAGGGCTTCAACGACTTGTTGAAGGATTTGTTCTCGCAACCCCCAGTATCTGATAATCTGGCACCACGCGGTTGTGCAAATATTAACTGGAACCTCGTAAAAGCCATTCCCGTTGAGGAAACGAGATCTGCGCTGCGAGCAGTGAATGGATCTGCACCCGAAGTAGACCGTATCACACCAAAGAACATCATTCGAATGGATCCGAGATTCATTACGTCTTTTTTAAATTGCTTAATAGCTTGTTCTCCCTATCCTACTCACACGAACCTGGCCCGTGTAACGTTTGTTCCAAAAATCCCCAACGTTTCCCGCCTAAAGACTTTCGCCTAATTCCCGTAACTTCAATCTTCACTCGTCTTCTTCATTGAATTTATTCGTGCTCTGGATTCCTGCATTCCCAGCTGACCGCCTGCACTATGGTTTTCTTCGTAAAGATGGCTGCTTTGAAGCCCCCACGATATTACACTCCGCACTAAGGTATTCACACTTGAACTGTATCCCTTTATCCACTGCTTCTCTCGACATTTCAAAAGCCTTTGATTCCATCTCCCACGCTTCGCTGCTTCGCGCAGCCTCATCTTTCGGTGCCCCTCTTTTCTTCTACATTATCTAAATACATATTATTCCTCCGGAATTTCAATCATCAACGGTCTGAGGATTCACCCAGGGCGTGGAGTCCGTCAGGGAGATCCACTTTCTCCCTTGCTCTTCATCATGGCACTTGAGGAAGCATTACACACAGTCTGACACACAGTGGATTTCCCCAGCAGGTCCAATCGATCATGTCGCTTACGCAGATGATGTCGTACTATTTGCTCGTGACCGAGAATCCCTGATCGAACGCCTAGGGCGATTTAGGCAGGATATACAGCATCTTGGATTATCAATAAACCACATGAAATCGATGGTACTGGATATCACCGTCGACAGCAAAAGAAAAAATTTGCCTATTTTGAACACTGCGCAGCTCCCCTGTGGCGCCCTCCAGATCCCCTCGATCCAGCCATCCGAGGAATTCCGGCTACTTGGATTACCATTTGATTGGAAGGGTAAACGCCCGTCAAACTCGCTAGATCAACACAAAACGCTGCTGCAGGAAACATCTCAAGCCCCTTCAAACCCTACCAGCGCATGGATATCTTAGGCACCTATCTTTTACCGCGTCATACACATTGCCTCTCATTGGCGTTGGTGCACCGGCAGACCTAAAAATCAGTGGATAGGCTGATCCGGGCAAGTACACGAAAATAACTACGATTCCCCGCGTCGCTTTCTTGCACCCATCAATTGAGAAGTATGGCCTAGGGGTTCTGCGCCCTTCTAGTATGATCCTATTGCTTCGGAAGGACCGCCTGAAACGCCATCTTCCACTCTCCCACCCAATTACCAGTTGGGCGATACGGGAGCCTTCAGCGGCAACCATCAACCGCCTCGCTATGAAACCCGTAATCATTGGGAATCAAGTGGTATTTGACCAAAGTGACACGAATGAAGTATGGACGAATTCACTGCTACAATCTATAGATGTATCCTTGGTTCGGGGGAAGGGTATTTACGACACCAGCGTCTCATAACTGGATAAGAAACACCGAGCGAATTGTTCCCAAACTCTACATCAGTGGAACCCAAATTCGAGCAGGGGTGCTGTTGACAATCTTTATGCTCCAGAGGCCGACCACCCCCAAACCCAACCGATCTTCACTATGGGGTGCTTGCGGACAAAACGAAACACTTTCCCACGTCTTGCAGTCCTATGCTGTAACCCACAATGCTTGCTCTAAAAAGCACAACGATATCGTGAAACAACTGACCAACACCCTTCGTTGTAAAAGCGCCCAAATCATCCTGGATCCCTGTATGTCAGCGGAATCAACGTACATCAAGCCGGATGTAATCACCACCAAGAACTCCACAGCACACATAATGGACGTGGCCATATGTGACACCTACAGAATGTCCCGTAGCTATCAACTAAAAATTGACAAATACTGTGTAGATGCTCATGCGGAAGTCATAGCGCGCTTTGTACGCTCGGAATTTCCAACGGCATGCATCATTCGGCGGTAATCATCAACAACCGGAGTCATATATTCCCAGCCTTCACCAAGCACGTTTCGGCTCACCAAACTTGACATATCTGACTTGTGTGTGTCTACCATGAGAGGATCCCTTCAAGTATACGACACCTACATGTGGGATGCAATGTCACAAAACATATCACACTAACACCGTACACTCACACGTTCGCGAGCGATTCCGACCATTTTTTGCGTTTTATATGATTACTGTTTCAATATTACGCCAAGACATTTGTCCAATCTCGGCGAATTTATGTAATGCCCAGGCCTTGGGCCATGTATGAATTTGCCGAAAATATATGTTCATGGACCGTGATTCACATTGAAGTGAACCTTTTCTAGTTCGATCACTAGGACCGTAAATGATGGAGAAAAGGAATATCTGGTGTTACTCACCCTAAAGCACTGTACCTGTTTCTCACTTAGTGGAAGCGGTGAAACTATCGATGCATCCTACTTGTGGCACTCCTCTGAAGTATATTCTACGCATCGGCTCACATGACCCGGGGTCCTGACTATATATCCAAACCGACGATGAGGCAGTAGGGTGCACCGTAGTTGTGGTCAGAGGTCTAACTCTTCTGCTGTTTGCTTCACCAGATTAGACGAGGTTCTTTCCACCAACCTCCTCGTCCGCATTTCTCTGATACTACCTCGGGTTAATCGACGTCAGCCAATTTCTCTGCTGCTGGACTCGCTCGTCTTTGTGTGCCTCCTCATCCGTCTCCACCTTTACCTTTGACAGTTATGTGCACCAATGGAATGTACAACGCTTGGGCACATTGCATCTTTCCAGCGATGATTCTCGCTTCACTTTGCGTATTGAAGATTCATCGGCGGACTCGTTTTCCGATCGCCTAGTCGTCCTGGTCCGTGGTGTGAAACGCTATGATTCCACTGGCCGATTAATACTGAGGAATCTTGAGGTGAGTTCCCTCCTGTTTTCACGACACACCCATCACCTGTTGTGTTTCCACTACTTTCCTCCGTGCGTACTGCCTTATATTCCGCATCTCTTTCCAGGCTGTTGCAACACAACGCAGCGATGCATCCTTACTGGCCGACCTCGCATCTGCCGCGCTGACTCCCAGTGCATTGATTGCCCCGCTTCTACTCAACCTGCATGTAGAGCGTTCACTCCGGTCAGATATCCAACGTCTCAGGGATCAATACGCACTGGATTGGGACCCAAGTAAACGTCACCTCCATCTTCTTGGTGGTTCCCGTGGTGAGATTCTCGCCACGTTGCACATCACTTCGGATGGGGCTTTCTCACTTGTCAATTTGCAATACAAGCAACCCGATGGATCAAACACTGTTGATGTTGCCTCGACGAATAACCGAATGAAAACCATGCTGAATACCTTCACTGCCCCTGTGTCTCACTCTTTAGACGAATGGGTCTCTGAGGTGCACGATTTTTGTCACACCCTCTCCAGCTCACTGAATCTGTAAATTCCAACTCTTCCCTACGCTTTGTATGTCCTTCTTTTTATGCGCGCTGTGTTTTATCCCGACTTATTCCCGCCTGTTTACTTTGTGTTCCATTGCATGTCCAAAATTGGCATGTGAAAAATTTTTGCTCAGCACTTTGTGGGCTGCGCTTCACCATGCTTTCGAACTTGTTCACTTGTCTCTTACCACCAGTAAGACCACTCCGCGTCCTATCTAAAACGCGCGAGACAGATCACGATGCCCGCATTACTGTATTCGTTAATGCCAACTTTTACTTCGAATTTTTACTTGCATGTATTAAGAACAAGTTGTAAAAATATTTGTAATTGAAACATTATTGTATTTACTATACGTTTTTCTATAAGTGGACAATAATGGTACTTACTTGCACAGAATTTTACTTGGAACAGGTGATAACTCTCTCAATTTGTCCACACAAACCGAGCTTCCTCTTTTCTTAGGTATGGAAATCCATTTACGAGATATTTGCTGTCCACTTCTTCCAGAATCAAAAATTTAATACCGAACTTATCAGGTTTGTTGGCAATGTACCGCAGAAAACGATAACGGGTTTTGGTGGAAAACAATTGCTTGTCGACGGTGAGGTTCTGTACAGGCACATAGCACTGTTTAGAGTTTCGAATAAATGCATTCCAGAATTCAGATATCAAAGAGGACTTGTCGGTCTGTACTTATTCACTTCCGGTAATCAGCATATTGAAACCCAAAAACCTCATTATTTCCTGGAATGTCTTCTTACCTGTTGTTTCCCTGAGAACAAGCACTCCGTATAGACTGCACCACAGCATATTCAATGGCATGTTCTTCAAGCCCAATGAAAGCACGCAACTCTGGTACACATATGTTCCACTGGTAACTGACACCTACAACTCCCCTAGCCTCAGCTTCAGTACACAGTTGAATGTTCGTAGAAAGTAGGAGCCACGATTACGCTTCGCACAATAATCTGCCTCGACGGAGAATCGAACCGCGGACCCACGGATCGTGACCACTACTTTCAACGAAAATTACACTACTCACAAAATCCAAAATACTTGAATATGTTTATGCTATTGGAAACATTATGTGCTGCCATCTTACTAAATGTAACTGTTTCGGACTATATTGGGGTCCACGATGTACCAACTTTTCATGCGTGAACTTTACTAGAATATGCAGAAACAGCTGACACATTTTCATGGTTTTCGCCGTCACCACTGTCTTCATGATGAGCGTCACTGTCCAAACTCTGACAGTCAGAGATGTTTTTACCTTCTGTGGACCATGGAAGCCATGCGAAAAACCCGGTTTAATAAATCACCTATGACCGTGCTATGGTTAGACGAGTCCAGTCACGCGCACTCATATTGCTGTGTTAATTAGGGGGAGTTAATAAGCAAATAACCTACAAACTGAGGTCCAGCAAAACAGTCGTTTAATGGGAAATGTTGACGTCATAAAAAAGCCAAGTGTTGAATGCTCGATATTGAATTCACGAAGTGGCCATCGTCATTATCATCAGCACACGTTAGTTGACGTTGAGAAACACACCTCGCCTAATGTGCCGCAATACGGAAAGGGAAGATACAAAAAAGTTACACTACCAAAAATTCGAAAACTGGGAATATAATGTTAAATATTATATTATGAGTTTTGCATGAGATCCGGATTGGAGGAGGAATCTAAAGAGGAGGGGATGGACAAAGAAACTCACAAAACCAACGCCATTGGGGCCAGCTCTTCGCCATATCAGCAGGTGTGTCCAGTCAAGCGTGTTTATCGTCCTTAGGACCCCAGCTAGGCAGTCGGAATGCACCAACTGATGCCAACTTCGAAGTGAGGGTTTTCACTTCTCGACCAAGTCATCGCTTAGCTTCCCCTCCTTCTCTTTCAACCACACCTCCGGCGCGCAAACAATGCATGTCGCGGGGGTCGGTGTGCTGACATGCGCAACACGTGGCCCAGCCATCGGAGCTTACTGCGTGATATAATCGTGCTGAGCGGTCCACTCACTCTTCCTGCACCAAATACGCGACGCTGAACACGCTCATTGCTCACGTGTTGCTCCCATCAGACATGAGTTAAGCTGTGGACGCAGCGATGGTCGAGCGTGAGTATCCACTTTGTGTCTGTCGACCTGATGGGCCAGGTGTCACAACCATATAGGAGAGTTGAACGGACGGCTGCGTTATAAATTCTTCCCTTCAGGGCGAGAGTGATGTCGCGTCTTCGCCACAGGTTGTGGAGATTGGCAAAAACACCTCGAGCTTTTGCTATACGGTGCACAATCTCATCTTCGATCCAACGGGCACTAATATAGTTGCCCAGGGACTTGGATTCCTGAACGATTTCTAGCTGCTCACCAAGGGTCAGCGCAAGCGTGGGTCCCTGCCACTCTTGGATAAGTACTTTGCATTTTGAGGGTGCGTAGCACAGCCCAAAGCGATTGACAGCCAGTGTTAATCGGTCCAGTGCTGTTTGGCACCTTTGAGAGCTTTCACAGATGAGGGCAGTATCGTCCGCATACTCCAAGTCAAGAAGTCGCTCACCAGGAAGTAGCTTCACACCTTCCAACTCGTATCCAACGAACGCTGTCTCCATGACTTCATCAATGACGAAGTTAAATAGGATGGGGGATAGCGAGCAACGTTGTCTCATCCTGATGGAGATATTGAAGGACGGCGACCGTTTGCCATAACCCTTCACTATGCGCATACAGCGCTTTGATAATGTTTGCGTGCTTATCGGCCACACTTTTTCTCAGCAGACGGTTCCAAAGGCCACATAGATCAACCGAATCCAAGACACCTTTGATGTCGAGAATCAAGCCAACGGAGGGTCATCAATAAACTTGACGGTGCTATAAAAATTGACGCAATGGAAAGATCTGGTTGATGCAGCCCTGACCTCGACGAAACCCGGCTTGCTCTTCGCGGATCTGGCTTTCACGAGCGTTAGTCAGTGTGTGGTGAAGGACAGATGCAAGCAGTTTAATGGCAATTAAGAACAGACTGTACCTCGATGATTGTCGTATTCCGAACGGGAGCCTCTCATGGGAATCGGGACTATGACGGTGCGGCTCCAGTTTATCGGGACAGTTTCCGGCTCCAGTTCCACTACCAACTGGTGTAAATCGTCTACAAGTGCAGATCCCCTGAATTTGAAGTGGGCTGGGGAAATTCTATCTGCTCTTGTGGCCTTATGCAATTTCAACAATCTGATCTCACGTTCGACTTCTGCGCGTGATGGCGGATCTAAGGAGACTGTCTATGGAGGGCACTCAATCCCCGAAAAAGAAAGCGATAATTCAGCTTGGTGAAACTGCCTTGCAAAGTGTGCTGTCCAACGCTCCAAGCCTTTTGCTAGGTGGTGGATGGGCTGTCCACTCTCCTCGCGTATTGTCTCACTAACACCATTGTTACACTCAGCCGAAATCAGAACAACAGTATTGCAAATGGAAGTTTAGTAGAAACAATGGCAATAGTACATCGGCAGTCCACACTGGGTAAAAGATCAACTGTTTAGTTTTACGCAGTTCACATGTTTTAGCTAAGCACTCGCTTTTGAACCAATCAGTAAGCATCGCTGGTTAGTCGGGAGATGGACACTTACGCACTAGCGCGCACAATGCAGCTCCACAGGCTAGGTAGTGTAGCATGACCTTGACGCGCTCAACGTCTGTATCACTTTTCCCCCATTTAGTTGGAGCTATCCAGCTTGGGAGCGATCGACCGGTCGGCGTCGGCGCTCAGAGCGCCACAATTGTGACTCAGCTACCTGTTTGGTGTCGCGCACGTGCATGTTGTTCGATGCTTCAGCTGGCTCCTCTCTCCCTGCAACTGTTTCTGCGTCGGACAATCTCGGTCGCACATGATCTAAATGGCGTCGAACGATCCTGCCATCCTCAGTCTCGACTTCTATTATCTGTCCGTTAGTTGTTTTAACGACGGCTAGCTCCCACCCCGAGCCTGTAGGTAAGCGGATGTAGATGGGATCTGAATCTGTCACATGCTTGTCTCTGCTACAAGTATCAAAACGCTCTTTCACTCGTTGTTGTTTTTCCGAAACTTGTGGCTCAATAGATCCATGCAATAAATCCAATCGTGTACGCAGTCGACGACCAAACATTAACTCTGCGGGGCTTTTGCCTGTGGTCTCGTTTGGCATGTTTCGATATGCGAACAAGGAACGATCCAAATGCACACGCAGCGGAGCATTTGGTTGTTTTATTAGCAGCTTCTTCACTGTTTGTACAGCTCTCTCCACCAACCCATTATAAGAAGGATGATAGGGTGCAGTTGTTATGTGTTTAATGCCGTTCGAGTTGAGGAAGGTAGTAAACTCAACACTGACGAATGCTGGTCCACTGTTAGATACTAATGTCTCGGGAAGGCCAAATGTTGCGAATGTTGTGCGTAGTTTCTCTATAGTACCAGCTGAATTTGCTGAAACAAGAATATGGGCATCAATGCATTTAGAATGGGCATCGATGATTAGTAAAATTATCCGACCTTCATAGGGACCGAAATAATCTATGTGGACTCGTTTCCAGGGTGTTTCTGGCCACTTCCAAGGCTGCATTGGCGCATGAGGAGCGGCGTTTCGGGTCTCCTGGCCAGGTCTGCAACTTCCAACCTTCGCCATAATATCACGGTCTAATTCAGGCCACCACACATAAAATCGAGCTAACGACTTCGTCTTTGCGACACCTGGATGCGCATCATGTAGTTCGTCAAGGATACGTGACCGAAATTTCTTGGGGACAATAACTCGTGCGCCCCACAGCAAGCATCCATTCTGGAGGCTGAGTTCAGACATCCTGTTACGGAAGGGCATGAGTTCTTTGGGGGTGTTGTCCGGCCACCCAACTTGGACATAGCGTTTGACCAACGATAGAACAGAGTCTCTGTCAGTTTCCTGACGTATGTCTGTACATGTGACTGGGGAATCATTAAAGTGCTGGACCAGGTTTACAATCTCTTGTGGGATAAATTCTTTCGATGGTGTCTCTGGTAAGGGCAGCCGGCTAAGAACATCAGCGGTGGTATTCTGTTTGCCTGGAACGTACTGAATGTCATACGTATACGCAGAAAGAATAAGCGACCAACGTACCATTCTAGGTGAAGCCATTTGTTGAATACCTTTCTCGTGACCGAGGAGGAAAACAAGAGGTTTATGATCCGTATGGATCACGAAAGGTCGCCCGAGTAAATCTTGGTGAAATCGAGTGGTGCCGAAGATGACAGCGGCTGCCTCTCAATCAAGTTGAGATTAGTTCCGTTCTGCTGGTGTCAGGGTTCTTGAAGCATAAGCAATGGGACGTTGAGAGCCATTCGGTAATTTGTG